TGAAATCGATGAAGTTAGTAGAGAGGAACGCCCCCTGCCTCACCCAGAGGCCAGGGTGGCCTGGAAAAGCAGGCTCGGAGTCAGAGACAGAAGCACTCCTCGTGGACACCTAGTTGGGCTATCGGTGTCTGATTCCAGAAACATGGACCTTTGAGAAGCCCCTAAAGTGTAGCCTCAGCCTAGACTCTCGCAGGTGTCCATGGCCTTCCTCAGTCCCTCGCATCCAAGGAGAGGCCTCTGAAGGGGAATCCTGGTCTCCACTCTGGAGACTCTCCCTGCTCCCAAGGGAGACGGGGATCCACTGAGGGAGACACAGGGGAACCTGTCACTCGAGACTTTGAGATCGGCAGCCAGGGTACTGCCATTTAAGTGGTTGACGAGCGCCCAATGCTGTGTGCCATCGATGGCTTCTTTCTGTAAGGACAAGGAAAGAAAAGGCAGTCTTGGATACCAATACTCACCTCCCAAGTTATCCCAGATGAGTCCCCAAAGATGAGGCCGGGGTTCTTGTTCACGGAGCCCAAGAATGAACTTCATAAACACTCAAGGTAAGAGAGCCAGGGAGAAGCTTTTATTTAGAGAGAAAGCCAGAAGGACAGAGCCCCTGGCTCAACCCAGGAGGAGAGAAGAGAGCCCCGGGACATACTTTGACTAAAAAAAAAAAATAGTTATCTAAAATTCAAACTTAACTGGGTGTTCTTCAACATAAGAACAAACACAAATCCTTCCCAACTCCTTCCTTGAATATACATGGAGACACCATAAATGTTAATCAGCTAAGGACTGACCACTGGACAGGCTTTACACTAAGTACAAAGAGAAGAGAGGCCAGTAAAACACTTTCTTGGTTCTCAAAGAGGAACTTTTCTTCCTCACAGTCACTTCAATCTGTTACCTGCCTTTGCAATATTTCCCTCTAACACAGGGACTGTGGCAAGGGCCCCTCCTTCCTGCTGTCCTGTGTGGCCCCTCCAGATCAGCCTTCCTTAGCCTCAACTTATAGGCCAGCTCTCTACAATCCCTCAAAAAAGAGGATTCCAGGCCCCATGCCTCCAACAAATGTGTACTCAGCACTTGCTTTGTGCCAGGCACCATTTCCAGTGGTAGACATGCAACAGGGCATGCAGAAAAGCCCTGAGCTAGCTGGGGGCTGGAGACACTGATAATGAACAAGTACACTGCATGGCACATTGGAAGTGCCATGAGAAAAATTAAACTGGTAAGTACTTGGGAGGAATCTTCTATCTTCCAGTGGTGACAATATTGAATTCTACCTGACCCCTGTGATCCAGGAAGACAGGGAAGGTTAAGAAATTCCTATCCTTTGGTCCATAAAATGGCTTACTGTAAAGAACCACTTTTTCCCATATAACTGAGATAAGACTCACATGTGCCTCTTCTATTTACCCATGTCAAGGCCAGACACAGACCCTCAAAATTACCTTTCTTGCCTCATAAATGATTAGCTGAAAGCCTTGTCCTCACTGATCAACTGGAGCAAATGCTTGTTAACCAAACTTTTGTTAAGCTTCACTCTCCTCCAGTTTCTGAACTTTGGCCCCCCTCCCCAAGTCAACATATAATACCTCCTCTCTGCACCCCAGAATAGGCTCACCTCAGCATCAGACACCTCTGATCTATCTGATCATGCCATGCTCTCATCCCATAACCCCAGAACGGGTTCTTTTTAGCTTTATTTACTCCTCTCTATAAAAGTCTTTTTGCCCAACAAAAAGAAGGACAAAAACCACATGATCATCTCCATAGATGCTGATGAAGCACTCAACAAAATTCAACATCCATTCATGATAAAAACTCTGAACAAAATGGGTATAGAGGGCAAGTACCTCAACATAATAAAGGCCATATATGACAAACCCACAGCCAACATCATACTGAACAGCGAGAAGCTGAAAGATTTTCCTCTAAGATCAGGTACAAGACAGGGATGCCCACTCTCCCCACTGTTATTCAACATAGTACTGGAGGTCCTAGCCACGGCAATCAGGCAAAACAAAAAATACAAAGCATCCAGATTGGTAAAGAAGAAGTGAAACTGTCACTATTTGCAGATGACATGATATTGTACATAGAAAACCCTAAAGAATCGACTTTAACACTACTAGAACTAGTATCTGAATTCAGCAAAGTTGCAGGATACAAAATTAATGCACAGAATCTGTTGCTTTCCTATACACTAATGATGAACTAGCAGAAAGAGAAATCAGGAAAACAATTCCATTCACAATTGCATCAAAAAGAATAAAATACCTAGGAATAAACCTAACCAAGGAAGTGAAAGACCTATACCCTGAAAACTACAAGACACTCTTAAGAGAAATTAAAGAGGACACTAATAAATGGAAATTCATCCCATGCTCTTGGCTACGAAGAATTAATATTGTCAAAATGGTCATCCTGCCTAAAGCAACCTACAAATTCAATGCAATGCCTATCAAAATACCAACATCATTCTTCAATGAACTGGAACAAATAGTTCTAAAATTCATATGGAACCACAAAAGACCCCAAGTGGCCAAATCCTGAGAAGGAAGAATAAAGCAGGGGGGATCTCGTTTCCCAACTTCAAGCTCTACTATAAAGCCACAGTAATCAAGACAATTTGGTACTGGCACAAGAACAGAGGCACAGACCAGTGGAACAGAATAGCGAGTCCAGATATTAACCCAAACATATAAAGGACCCATGGACATACAATGGGGAAATGACAGCCTCTTCAACAGATGGTGTTGGTAAAACTGGACAGCTAGCTACATGTGAGAGAATGAAACTGGATCATTGTCTAACCCCACACACAAAAGTAAATGGATCAAAGATCTGAATGTAAGTCATGAAACCATAAAACTCTTAGATAAAAACATAGGCAAAAATCTCTTGGACATAAACATGAGCAACTTCTTCATGAACATATCTTCCCGGGCAAGGGAAACAAAAGCAAAAATGAACAAGTGGGACTATCAAGCTGAAAAGCTTCTGTATAGTAAAAGACACCATAAACAGAACAAAAAGGCATCCTACAGTATGGGAGAATATATTCATAAATGACATATCTAATAAAGTGTTGACATCCAAAACAGATAAAGAGCTCACATACTTCAACAAACAAAAAACAAACAATCCAATTAAAAAATGGGCAGAGGATCTGAACAGTTCTCTAAAGAAGAAATTCAGATGGCCAACAGGCACATGGAAAGATGCTCCACATCGCTGATCATCAGAGAAATGCAAATTAAAACCACAATGAGATATCACCTCACACCAGTAAGGATGGCCACCATCCAAAAGACCAACAACAACAAACATTGGCAAGGATGTGGAGAAAGGGAAACCCTCCTACACTGCTGGTGGGAATATAAATTAGTTCAGCTATTGTGCAAAGCAGTAAGGAGGTTCCTCAAAAATCTAAAACTCGAAATACCATTTGACCCAGGAATTCCACTTCTAGGAATTTACCCTAAGAATGCAGCAGACCAGTTTGAAAAAGACATATGCACCGCTATGTTAATTGCAGCACTATTTACAATAGTCAAGAAATGGAAACAACCTAGGTGTCCATCAGTAGATGATTGGATAAAGATGTGGTACATATACACAATGGAATATTATTCAGCCATAAGAAGACAAATCCTACCATTTGCAACATCATGGAAGTAGCTAGAGGGTATTATGCTCAGTGAAATAAGCCAGGCAGAGAAAGACAAGTATGAAATTATTTCCGTCATCTGTGGAGTATAAGAACAAAGCAAGAACCAAAGGAATAAAACAACAGCTCAGAGACTCAGAGAACCCAAGAGTGGACTAACAGTTACCAAAGAGAAAGGAACTGGGGAGTATGGGTGGGAAAGGAGGGATAAGGGGGAATAAGGGGCATTAAAATTAGCACACATAATGTAGGGCGGAGGGGGCATGTGGAAGTGTGTACAATACAGAGAAGATAAGTAGTTACTCTATAGCATCTTACTACGCTGATGGACAGTGACTGTAATGGGGTATGTGGTGGGGAATGTTAATGGGGGAGTCTAGTTACCGTAATGTTGTATATTATGTAATTGTATATTAATGATACCAAAATAAAAAAAGGAGAAAAAAATTAAGTACTCAATGATAACATCAGAAAGAGCTGTAATTACCATACTTAACAATTTGAACTTATGTTCATTTTAGTCTCTCAGCAAAGGAGGTTCATGAAGGGTCAAGCTGGGAAATGCCAGGAGCTCCTTTCACTGAAGGGCATGGCCTGACAGTAGGTGAAAGGAACCTTGACTGAAATAGCACAAAAACGGAAGCAGGAATGAAACTCAGGAGGCTGATGCAGTCGCCTGATGCAAAGTCTGAGAGCCAGAGCCTCAGTAATGAACAAGGGAGAGTGGCTGACAAACACGGGACGTAGAACCAAATCAATGCGGATGTCGGGGATGGAGTGTAAAGAAGTGTGTCTGATGGTTTCTAGGTTTCTGGCTTCCCTAGGTGGATGGTGATGCATCCAGCAGCAGAAGAGGGGCAAGCCTGTACGGAAAGATCAGCTTAGTTTTGCACATCCAGAGTTTGAGGTGCCTACAGGAGACCTGGGTGAACATATCGCGAAGGTAGATGCTGAGACCCCTCCAAGACACTTGTAGTGAAGTCAGAAGCCATCGACCAAGCGTGGTCCCTGCGAGCAGCCAGGTGCAAGGGGCAGCATGTGGGAGAATGCCCAGTGAACGGTTCCCGCCAGGCTCCGGCCTTGTGGAAGGCCCAGCGGAGGACTGTGCGTGGGCGACGGGAGGCTCCCCGTGGAGCGCCGGTGGCTGCGGGCCGCACGGCCTCGAGGCCCTGCGCTCTTCGGGCCGCACCGCGCTTGCTCCGCGGGGCCGCGCGTGCCCCACTTCCGCTTCCGGGCCCGACCTGAGGCGGCAGGCGGTGCGGGCCGGAGCGGTTGGTGTGGGTGCCACCTTCGCACGGCCGGCGGGCCCCTGCGAGCAGAAGCAGCTGCCCTCGGCTGGCAGGGCGGCGGCCGGAGGCGGATGCCGCGGCCGCCCGACTCGGGCCCCGCGCCAGCCCTGCGACGTGGAGGTGATGCGCGGGGCCCAAGGAAGCGAGGCCGGCGGCTGGGGCCCGGCAAGGCGGGAGGCCCTGAGGCCGTGGAGCGCGAGGGGAGCTCGCAAAAGAGGAGAATGGTCAGCCGGGCGTCCGGGAGAGGAGAGACGGGCGCGTCGGGTGAGGCACGCGGAGCCGCGAGTGGAGGCGCTAGGGGTGTTGGGGGGCCCTGCAGACACAGTAAGAAAGACCTCAGGGGTCCTCCCCTTCCTAGTCCTTGCACCTCTGCAGGTTCCATCCTTGTTTACCACTAGTGTTTAGGTTCAGTCTGCGTGGGCTTTACTGGTGCACGTGATTGACTAGGCCAGGGGAAAAACGAGGAATTCTCTTAAAGTGTTTGCCCTGTCAGCTGTACTATGAGAGGAATTCGTACTAGTGATACATTTTTGGCTAGTGTGAAATGATAATGCTAGAGGTTTATACTGCTGCTGTGGAATTTATACAGGTTTGTATGTAGTTCCTTAACAGAAATTGGGTCTTTCATTTAAAAACAAATGTGTATTTCCATATAGCTATTCAGGGAAGTAAAAATGCATAGCTTTTTTTTTTTTAAGTGGTATTGCTTTTTTCTCTTCACTATAAAATCTTTTCTGGTATGTTTGTTGTTTTGATCAGCCAAGGAAAAAAGAAAAGTTACTGAATCCTCAAGTGATGATCCACAGCCAGGGACTGACCTGGTAAGAAAGGAATCATTAACCAGTTCGGAATCTTTCCAAACAGTGGAGTGCAGTGGATTTCAAAGTACAGCTTCCTTGCAGTCTTTGGGTAAGGAAGGTTTGGTAGAAGGTATTAAAAGAAGACTTCAGATTAAAAATGTTGAAAACTTAGAAAGCCCACCTCTCAAAATAACTGCAAATAAGGCTACACAAAATATTAAGGTTGAATTCCAAGATGAACTGTACAAGAATACTCTGAAATATTCTTGTAACAGCTTGTCACCTGAAGTAGAAACTAATTCCATTTTTAAATTACATTATTACAATTGTTTCCCCCATACTAAGGGTTGTAATGATGAAAATAACCTTACATATAAGCCTGACAGTGGATGTACGCATATACCAGAAAATTCCTTGAAGTTAAAGAAAGAAAACCTTAGGAGTCTTGCAGACAAGAGTGACACAAATAATACTCCTCAGCTTTTACAAACTGAAGAAAACTTAGTGGGAGTAAATAAGTTATTGCTTGAAGAAAATGATTTATACCAAACTAAAAATAATGGCTTGCTTTCCTGCCTTCAAAGTGAAAAAAATAAATACTCAGTAGAGGAGAGCAATGTTGGGAGAAAACCCAGGAAAAGGATGAAGGTGTCTGAAAAAGGAGATGAAATAGTTATTGAGGCAAACTTCTCTAACGTATGTAACAAGCCTGGGTTGGTATTACAAGGAAACCAAATGGCTGCTGAGAGTAAGGAAGCAGAGGCTAAGAAATGTCCTTCAGAACATTTTAGAAAAGTGAACCATAATACAGTCTCTCCAATAGACCATTTATTAAGTCTTCCAGAAACAGGAAAGAAAACAAGCCCTGAACATCATGTAAATGCTGTATTTCAGAAAACCCTTGAGCCACTTTTGAAAGAGGAAACAAAGAATACTTCAGAGCCCTTGGAATGTAAAATTGTGGAGCCAAAAGAGTATTTTAAGTCTGTGAAAAGCTCAGTAGTGAAATCACCTAGTGATTGCCATCCTATTGAAAAGAGATATTCACAAGAAGAATTGAGAAATGAAGCTGACGAATCAAAGTTAAGCTGTCAAAGAACAGTACCAATGACTGGTAAAAGAATTTGGCCTTTTTATTCATGTGCTAGAGTATCTGCTCTATGTTGGAAAAAGACTTCCTTGCCAGATTCAAATAACTTTCTTCCTGGGTTTCAGGAAAATTCTAGGCAGGATGATTTTCTTAAACACCAAACAAATCAAACTCACTTCACTGACTCCAAATTATCATTACAAAGTCCCATAACAGAAACAAACAATGAATATTCAAATAAAGAAAAATTGGATTCTAATTTAAAGTGTTTATCTTCAGTCAGTATAGTAGAACCTTCTCTAATGGTTATAAAAGAACCTATAATCGATGATAAAAAGATGAAGTCAGAAGAACCAAGCAGAAGTTTGTCAGAGATAGTTTCTAATACTACTGAAGATACTCAGTTTACTAAGGTGACTCAAAACTTAATGGGAAGTAAGAAAAAAGATAGAGGAAATTTAACAAAACTTAATCTGACAGTGGCTTCCCAGAATGACCAACAAGCAAGTAACTCTACAGGTGAAACTGCTCATCGAAAAGCCTGCATTGCGAAGCAAACACTTGTGGTTCCAGACTTCGTTAAAATATTGAACACAGGACGGCTAACTAATTTTAAAATTCCTTTACTTAAGAATAAAGCAGAAAAAAAAGAAAGAAATGCCAAGTCATTGGAGAGAGAAGCATATAGTCCTCTAGAGCTTCTTGACAGTTTATCTGGAGCAGAGGTGAGACAGAATAGGAGTAAAGAAAATGTCTTCACAGTAACTTCAGGACCTCAATCTTTGAGCATACAAAGTAGTGTAACTCCAATGCAAACTAGTTCTGACTTGTACTGCAATAAGAATTCCTGTAGTATTTCTCCAAGCATTTTAAAGCAAGGTAACAATAATAAACCATCAAATCAATTCTCTGAACCAGGTAATTTTATTTCCAAAAAGGAAGCTGTTTCTGTCTCAGTTGAAAGTAATACTTCTTGTGATCCTGGGTGTATAAAGAAAAGTCCTGCCTTCTCTAATGAACAAGAAACATTCAGACAAGTTTCTTCTGAAATTAGTGGCAGAGAAGTGACTAAGAACTTCTCAGAAATTAAAGTGGGGTTTCTAGATATTCTTAAAGCATATGAAGATGATGTCCTCTTAATTGATGTAATTCACGATGACCCAGATCTCTTTGGAGTCTCCAATGAAGGGGAGTTCTTACTTACTGCAGAGATCCCCATGATAAGCCAGGAGCCCAACATCACTGAGGAGCACCAGTCAACAGACTCCAAGCACATGGAACTTCCAGAAAAAAAAGAACCAAGCAATAACTTGAGGTATGCATGTTCAGGTATGCCTTTTGGTGCAGACTATTGTTGGGGATTTTAAAAGCACTTTCTGCTATTAGGTGTCACTAGTTTATTTGGTGTTCATTGAAGCTCCATTATTTTTTTAGCCCAGTTGTTTATTACTTGCAATATAGCATTTTATTGCTAAGACCTGTAAATGTCATTATGCTAAAGCTTAGTAACAAAATAAAGCAATTGTAAATATCTTAGAAATTATAATGGAGCAGATTACCTGTTCAAATTTAAAGTGGTCATTTATAAAGTGGCTTTTTAAATTACCGAGATTGCTTCTTTCAAACTTCAATTAAATTTATTTTCATATGTGCTTTATTACAAATATGCAGGCATACTTTTATTTCAGCCAGATTACTTACTAAGAAACTATATTTTAACCCATTTTCTTTGGGTTCCTTGTTGGACAAAAGTTTCATATTTCAAGTAACAAGCCTTAGAAAAGTTTATTTGAAGTAATTAGGACTTGAGAGTAGAATTAAAAGTTAAACCACTTTCTGAGGAAAACAGCATAAATTTGTTTTAACTTTTTAAGATAATGGTTTTAAATGACGATATAACCTTCAAAGATGGTGAGTTTGCCAAAGACAACTTTAAATGGAACCAAGTGACAACTTCTGTGCTCAGGAACGTGATCTATTCCGGTTTGCCCAAATGTTATTTAATATCATGTCTTACTTACTGTTATATTTGTTAAAGCTCTAATTTATACTTGTATGTTATAATACTTCATTATTGGAATGTTTTGAAAACAATGAAAAAGAAACAAAAACACTTTCCAGTTAGATTCAATGGTACATGACTTCAGTTTCTCTATAATTTTAGTTTTATGACATCATATTTTTCTTGATGTGCTTAGTGTTACAAGAACTTACAACTTATCACCAAGTAGAGTACTTTCAATGTTCTAAATGGAGGACCAAGAGCCTTATCTTAGGTAAGATGGTACTCTGCCCTTTTCGAGGATATCAAATCGAAGATGGCAAGTTGTCAATTGTCCAAACTCACACTGCTAATTACAGTATCTGGATTTGAATCTAGGCCTATCTTACTTTGAAATTAGTGATTAAGAGCTTGACCTTTATAGTCTGGTGTAGATTTTTAATCTTCTTGCCACCTAATAGCTATTTGATCTTTTAGGCAAATTATTTGACCTTATCTGTAAAATGGGAAAGTACTTGCCTCAGGATTATGAGGAGTAAATCAAAGAATGTGTGGGAAGGTTTTAGCATGGCACTGGATGAGTAAGAAGAACTCAATAAAAAGTAGTTATTGAAGGTGATTTTAACTCTTGTTAACACCATGCTTCCTTTGAGGAACAGAAAGGGATGTTAGAGCAATCCTGCATTCAAGAGTAAACATCTCTGTTAGCTAACAAAATGTTGACGATGAGCCAAAGGTAAAAAGAACAATGTTGTGAATTAGGCAGGAAGTTTATTTTTCTTTTTCTTTCTCTTTTCTTTTTTTGAATAATAGCCAGTTTTGTAAAAATGATACCTGTTGGTTACATTAAAAGTGTAAAAGGGCTGGTCTGGAGGGTGGGAGCAGGAAATCCCACTACCCAGAATAACAAATTAATTGCTAACAATTTGTATCCATTATTCCAGACATCTCGTTAGGCATATACATGGATATAATTTTAGAAAAATGGGGCCATGCCATTTTTTAGTGCAAACATTTAGTTTTATTTATACTTAATGGGAGGGGAGTGCTGATGTGAACCTAAAGGAATTGTTGAAACAATATACTTCTCTCCTACAAGAAATTAGTTACTAAAAGCCTCCCTCAAGTTAATAAGAAGGATTACTTAAAGGTTTGAGTTTTATCATGACTTAAAAACTGTGTTCTAACTGAGACCACAGTATTTACTTTCCTGATATGACAAATTAACATATCAGTACACATTCACTTTTTCTCCCAATCGTGGCCTCCACATTTTTGTTAAAACAAATTTTTTTTCATATTGTTGTGCCTTGTGCCATTTTCATTCTCTTCAATAGTCTGAATCCCCAAAGACTTTTTACTCTTAGTTCTGTGTTTGAATTGACTCATTTGTTACCACCAGCCCTGTTTATTTTCCTCTGTTCTTCGACTATTTTGATCCATTCTTACTTGGCTAGATTTCAGAGCAATTGTTTTTAAAAGGAGGTTATGATTACTGTGTTTCCTAAGATCTTGGGTACATAAGGGTGACTGTTTTAGGAGAAATTTGAGTATGAAGTTCTTAGTTCATGTTTTTCCTCATCATAACTGTCTGGTCATTCCTCCTCTCTGCTTTCTGGCTTCGAGAGTTGTAGTGGAAAAGTCTGAGGCCAAACTAATTTTCCACTGCCCTTATCTAAACTGCCGTCTTTTTTTTTTCCTGCCTGCTTTGTTTTGGAATTGGGATTATGTATAAATAATCAGATTTACTTCAAGTAATTTTTATACTCTTGTCTTGGAATTTCAATTCCCTTCACTTCAGAGGCACCACTTATACTGTTACTGGCTGTTCTTTTTTTTTTCTCCATAGTTGCTTCTGAAATTTTGGTTTTTAAATAAACTTGAAAAATTTCCTGTTGTTATTTTAATTTTTTCCTGTTTTGGAAATACCAGTTTCACAATCATCCACAGTACTAGAGTAAACCTTAAGAAATTATGGAGGCATGATAACCAGAGGGTCTGCTAATAGTTGCATAGAAAGCTATTAATGACTCTAGAACTAAATGAAGCTTAAAATATAATTTCACATTTTAACTCTGTCCCTTTTACCAATCAGTTGCTGGTTTATACACATTCCTTTTTCCTCACTCAAAAACACATAAGAGGTTGAAGACTGTTAGAATTTCTATTTTACAGGAATAGAAATTTGAAGATGGGAGGTTTAGGCCTATATACTGTCAGATGCTCTGGACTGCCTCTTATTGGTAAAACAGATAGGTAAACCTGACTTGATTTAATTGTTGGGGGAAATATTCTCAGACTTGGTTAGGGAGAATTTGTAAGGTGTTTAAGTTGTATTATAATGTTCATTATCAATCCCCATAGTGGGTGAAGTCCATATTAAAAGCCAAAGCAGTAGACACATATTAAAACTAATTCACTAAGACTTGAACTGATGAGCTTGGAAATGTATAATGGATGAAATTGGTGAAACTTTTAAATTGGTCAGTAAGTATAGCTGGAGATCTGAGAATGTCTGTAATAGTAGTGGACAGTTCATCTATACTAGAACATAGGATTATCTTCAGTCACAATTTTATTATATGCTAAAATATCGATAATGTATATTGAAATTTTAAGAATCTTCCAAAATTCAAGGGAATTACTGTATAGCTGGGGAGGAACTAATGTGTTTGAAACAAAAATATATAAACTGAGATACTAAGGAGACTAGTAGTTTAGAAAAGAATAAAAGACCATCTTGGGAAACCCAAAATTTGTACTGATCCTTGAAGCTTAGATTGATTTAGAGTAATAAAGGGAAAAAAGTTTGGTAGGGGAAGAAAAATAATGAAGAAAATGTGGGCAAAAGATAAAGATACATATGAATATGGTTATGTACGGCAGCTTGTGAAGCATTTCCTGACTTCGTCAGGCAGAGGTAGCCCTTCTCTGTTCCATAACAGCTTTTGTTACCTACTTATGGTACTGATTTCATGATGGTATAATTTCTGTCTGTCTCACTTGCTAGGCTGTTGGCCTTCTTGAGAACAGGGTATGCTCATGTCTCATTTATCTTTGTAAGCACAGTCCCTCACACATTGACGGAGGAGAGAGAATTAAGGTTTTGATTCCTACTATGTTGCAGGCTGTTTCTTAAGCATCTAGATTGGAGTATATGTAATTGGAGACAGTGACTCCTTTTTTCCTAAAGCGAATAGATGCTGAAGAGTAGTGGGAAGTATGACTTGATAAGTTAGGGTGATGTCAGATTGAGAAGACTGGAAAGTTAGGCACCAAAATTTAAGCCCAGTAGAGAATTGATGCTGGTGATCAGTGAGGCTCAGTTATAGCACTTTTGCCTAAATCCATAAAAGCCGTTGTAAATTCTACAGCTGTTAAATAGCAAACTTCTGGGCTGGAGTGGGTGGGGGTGGTTGAGGGCGCGGGGGAGAATGCCTAGCACCAATACACAGAAAATAAAAGCCTGTCACTTTTGCCCAAGTATTTGCGTCCTGTTAGACCCATGCCAGCATGGGTCTGGCCTGGCAACTTATATTGTCTCAAGTAACCAACCCCACTTACTTTCTTAGAATCTGATTTAGCCTCAGTTGATCCCTCCAGGAGATTGGCCTTCTAGAGTAGAGTAGTCTAATCACCAATTTTACCATACCAAATGACCAGAAAACCAAAAAACAAAAACCAGGTTTTCACCAAAAGTAAAGGTCATTCTCTTTCTCTCCCTGTTGTATTTAAACTCCTTGGCCAAGAAGCTTACCTTGCTCCATTCTCCCATTCCACTGAACATCTGAAGCACTCTATAGTACAAAAGTTTACACTCTGTTATTAAAGAAGTGGTACTTGGTGTGTTTCCTGGGCTAGATGCTTTGCTTATATTTCATTTAGTGAAATTATTCTGAGGTTGAAAGTGCCCCTATCTTTAAAATTGAGTCAAAGTGATTAATTTTCCAAAGGATACACAGGGTTAAGATCTGAACTCAGGGCAACTTGCTGCAAAGTCTGTCTCCCTTCCCCAAAAAAGCATGCTATAAGAATGGCATTTTGGTTCTTTCTATGGCTTTAATTCAATTACTCTTTAGACTGCCACAGAACATTATTTTACTTTTGATCCCTTTTCTTCTCTCATCTCTTCCTCCTCTTTAAAATAGCAGGTGGGGCAGTATAAAGAAATGTCATGCTGAATTTAACGTTTTCTCTTTTGAACCACATAAACCACTGTTTCTTGTCTTTGATGGAAGATATGATATTGTACTTGATGGGGAAATCATTTGTAATATCAGCAAACCTAGCACCTCACAGCATGGCATCAGACT